TGTTTTGACAGTTTTTTTTTTTTGCATTCCAATTTTGATCATCAACCGCGTGTCGTGCAACAAAAGCACACACCCGGCGGCTTAACAACCAACTCGATGGCAGATTGGAAACGTGTGCTCTCGCTAGTGAAAGATTTGCTTATGCATTAACAATATTCGTACTTCGAATTGACTCGGACTTTTTATGTTTGAGTTAGAAACCCGGCTTCCGGTGTGTTCCGATCACAACGAAACCCTGCTATCGTCGCTTAATATCGACGCTTTGGGTCGATCGGACATATCGAAGGCCACCAATATTGAGATTATATTTGTTTGTGTTGATTATATTGAATTACACAACAATATATGAAATCTCATTGGTGCATCTTCGATGTTTTCGACATTTGCCCATGAAGCCGAGTATCGAAGAGACGAATATTAATATCCGTAAGTCAAATCTATGACATTTTCTGAGAGCACATGTTTTTAATCTATATGGAATATATAAAAATTATGAAGGTAAATATTAGATAACAGTAAGTATTTTTAGTTTTATTTTACATGTATGTAAATGGTTACAATATTATGCATAAATTTGATTTACAAATTGTTAAAAATAGAAAGATGCTCGATAGATTAGTTGTTTTTTTGATAATTAATTTTCTTTTTAACGCTAATAATAAATTTCTATGAATTAAATCTTCATCTAGATATCTGTTCAACATCGAAAGATCTTTTTGTCTAATTATATTGTATTGTATTTTTATTGCAATATTTCAATAAATAAATTTATTCTAATCACTAAATTATTTATTATGAATGAAATCATGCCTCTAAAAATCTTTACATTTGTCTTCATCGTCAAAGACTTCCTATTTGGTTATATTTGATAGTTTATTTTATATGGATTTTTTTATAATAATCAGTTTGCATTTCATTTTAATATACTACATATGAAGAAAAAAAACGCACATGACAAAGTTTTTGATTTCTTAATAGTTGAAGCTATGGAACAATCCAAGTGCTATTATTGAGTTCTAGTTTAAAAACTGTCCTACCAAAACAAAAGACAAAAGATATAAAATTATATCACGATTATTATTATTTATTATTCAGCTTTTAATCATTTAGAAACTTTTTACAACAATATTGTATTACATTCTTTTGTCAAAAAAATTTATTCTTCCATGTGCAAAGAAATCAAACGAACTCACTAAAATAACTGATGGATCATCATGAATCTGACTAATTATTAATGCAATTCTTCAATCATTTACGTTCCATGTAAAATATTCATTTATATAGCAAAACATCGAGAATTTTAAGCTCAACAAAACTATGTACTTCACTTTTAGAAAGAACTCTTCAACACATTGGAATATACTATCTATCCTTACTATCGAACTAAAAAACCAACGAAAAAAGTCTGGATGAAATCATCTATCTTTCGAAACTCTAAAAGACAACTTCATATAAAAAATTCAGAAGCTAATAAATAAAAAAAAACAAACGTCATTTTACATCCATGCTGAAACCTACTCAGTTGTTAGTGAATTTCGACGAAAACATGTCGCCATACGATTCATCACTTATATAGTGCTGTAGAGAACACAAATTCTGTATCTCTTGGCGTCCAAATGAGATACTTTGCAACTGAACCGTAACTCGACAAAAAAAGTTCATTAGGAAAAAAAACACTATAAAAGATATTTTCAACATCCCAGTAAAAGTTGAATCACCCGAATAGAGGATAAAATTCTTTGCTTTCGAAACTCTTCCATACTTTCGCAAAGCAAGAGCAAGAATGTGTTGCAGTGGGATAGCTGTTTGGATTACCGTGCAAAGGCAAAATATTCTTGTTAAAAGTGAAGTACTTAGTTCTGGAAAGCTTGAAATTCTCTTATAATAAAACATGGACTGCAAATGATAGGTATAATATGGATTCGTAAGTGAGCTTCAAATTTGGAGTTTGCGTGTGGAGCTCAGTTTTTTTGATCACCTATTGTGGATGCATTGTTTCGAACATGATATACATTCGTCGTGAACAGTTGAAATGGTTCGCCTGATTTTTATTCTTTTTTTTTTTAATCGTTTAAACAAACTCACCCACACATCCGAAAGATACTGACTCCAGTTTCAACGTGCTCAAACGTACGGATTTTTTTCTTTTCTCTCCTTGTCTTTTTTTTCTTTCCTCTGCGTTTCTTTTCCTCTTTACTTGTTTATTTCTCTTCTATATTTCTTTTTACTTAGTTATTCTCTTGATGTGTTTCACCAGACTTTTCAATCTTCAGACTAAACTTTGATTTATGGTTTACCAAACTAAGTGACGAAAGAAATAAGTTTTTATCTTGAGTTTCTACGCATGAAATACTTTCACTTTTGATATTTTATTGCACTCTTTTTTTTTATAACTTTCTATGCGACTACCATCGTCGTCAATAGCTGGAGGAGAACAGCAGTTGTTAAATACAGTGTATCACGTAACCTGCGTTGTCATTGCCTTTTCCTTTGACGTTTCTCAAGTGATGAATGCCTTGTCTTCATTACACAACATAACTTGAGCATAATGTTGCTTGTTGCGTTTCTTCGCGACACTGCTCTACCATGCGCATGGAAGAGAAGGCGACTAAAAATACTCTTCGCTACAAACATAGCTTCGCGATACGAACAACAACGCGCTTTGAAAGTTCTGACTTTTATTTCCGCTTAGCTGATTACCTATATATATATAACAAGGAGGACTCTTCATTTTCCCAACACACCTTATCTCGCTCATCAGGTTTAGATGACATTCTGTAAAAACTGAATCGATCTCAACGGTTTCTTGTCGAGCTCGTTAAAGACAGCATCTGACATGCTAAGGTGCTTGATTTTCATTTTGGGACTCATTATGATACCGACTTTATTGTCAAGAAAATTGAGGATACGAATGTGTTGCCCGCAAATATAATCATGTATTGAAGTTAATTGAAGTTCTGATTGAATGACTTTGCTAAGACTAAAGTCCTAGAAAGAAAATAGCATTGTACGTAAGCAGAGGCCAGGGCAAGGAGAAAAGTGAGACTTCGTTCTTCAAAATTTTTTGAAGTACGAGAGGGAGTAGGCACTTTTGAAGTCTCGCTTGTTTTTCCTTGAGCCAGAAGTTCAATGTTTGGGATGTTTTCTGGTTAGGCCACTTTACAACTGAACTCCAAAACCTCTTCCGTGATGTCGTACAGCTTTAGTTCCTCTAAACAAGTGTTTATTGTGATGATATAAAACTGCCATTCTCTTCCACCTAAGATGGTTGCTCGGTATAGATTTCTTCAGATTGAATACCATTGACATTGCTAAATCGACTACGACGAAGTTTGAAGATAGCATTCCTTCGATAATGACAGCTGCTCAGCAAAACAACTATGGCGATGCACGCGATGTAATCACTCTGTGTCACGACGTACCGGTTCCTCGGGAACTATCATGCAAGCAAATTCTTATTCGAGTTCATGCCGCTGCGATCAATCCAATCGATTGGAAAGTACTAAAAGGCAGTATGTCGTTTATTAAACGATTTTCATTTCCTCATACACCTGGCACTGATGTTGCTGGAATGGTGGTCGCTGTTGGTTCGTCAGTAAAGCGTCTGCAAGTGGGTGACAAAGTCTACGGAAATCTTGGCGTAGACGGTGGTAGCTATGCTGAATACGTTCGTGGAGACGAATCGCTTTTTGCCTTGAAACCGAGTAATTTGACGATGGTAGAAGCAGCTGCCGTACCTCTGGCATGTGAAACTAGTTATCAAGTATTATTCAAACAGGCTTCGCCTATAATAGGACCAGGAAGTAAAATAATGGTGTGTGGAGGTAGTTCAGCTACTGGTCTCTATGCCATTCAGTTGGCTAAAGCTGTAGGTGCTCATGTGGCAACAACATGTTCACAAAGGAATTTCAGTTTAATGGAAAAACTCGGTTCGTTTATTTCTGTTCTTGTTCGCTATATCTCGTTTGTTTATTAATTATAGGCTATAGAGTTGTTGAAGCAAGCGACGACATGACAGTAGATCCACAACAGTTAATCGTGATTGATTACAATAACAAAGATTTTGGGCAAGAATTAAAAGGTAATGTAAGCAAAGTCGGCTCTTTTCGAAAGCTTGTTCTTTGTCTAGATCAAGACTATGATGTTGTGTGCGATTGCGTGGGCGGTGAACAACAGTGGATAGCCGCCCAACAGATACTCAAGCGAGGTGGTCAATTTATTACTATTGTTGGCAATGATCCTGAAATGAAGATCACATTGAAATATCTCGCTACAATGGGTTCTAGTCTACTAGCACATAAATTTCGGTCTATTTTTAGTTCAGCCAAACACTGATACACACTTCATGCTATCCGTGCAGACTTTCAAGATCTGGACGATTTGCGAACGCGATTCTTGGAAACGGGCAAAGTCAAACCTATAATCGATACTGTGTTCGATTGGCGAAAAGATGGCGTTGAAGCACTGCATGCGTTGTACGAAAAATCGAAGAGTGGCAAGGCACAAGGCAAATTGATTCTTAGAATTACCGACGACGAATAATCCTTTGAGGACTCGTGACTCATTTTTGGACCATCTATTTTTCAGTAAAGAAAAATGTATTTATTTCATATTAAACTATTAAATATGTAATGTCATTAAGGTCATAAACAACTGCATTTACAGTGACGTCATAATTTTTCTCTTCTTCTCTGATCTTTCGTTTTTCGAGAATATTTTCACTCTCTATTGGGTATATACGCTCGTTCTCATTGACGAATTTACGTTATTCTTGAATTTGCAAAGTATATCAGGATATGGGTGTGAGCTGCGGCATGTTTGGATGTGGGTCTCGTTGTTGATACTATTATTCTCTTGAGCCTTATCCACACACCCACACTCACATCCAGAAAAAAAGATTTTTTTATACGATAAGTGCTTCGGAATTGACAATAAATAAAATGATATATACTAGTCAATTGTTATTCATTTTTTCAATTCAAAATGTTCAGTATTCATATTTAATTCTTGGAGCACAATTGATTTCCTTCGTATGCAATCCATTTACACAAGCATTCAATGAAGCACTTGGAATAGACAGAATTGATCCATTCTTGCGGTAATTTATCATAACCGTAGTATGCACCAGCCAGTTGACCATAAATAGCTGCCGTTGTATCGGTATCATCACCAAGATTTACTGCTGCTAGAACACCTTCTTCAAACGAGTGAGTAGACCAAAAAGCCCATAATGCAGCCTCAAGAGAATTGACAACGTAACCTGTACCTCGTATTCCAGAATCATACCCTTTTTCCTTCTTGAATGATCCTTTGGCGATGTTTTCAATTTCAGAATCTAAAGGATTGTTTGTAAACCATGTTTTCATCTTAGATAAATAAAAATCTTCACTGAGAAGTTGATCTTTATCTGCATTATGCATAGTGGCTACAATCAGGGCTCCATAATAACGACATGCATCAAAGGCTTTCTTATCTCCGTGAGTAATTCGGCCACTGATTCCAGAGAATTTAACAGCAGCTTGTGGATTTTGGTAGAAAAACAGAGGTACAGGTGCCAAACGCATAAGTACACCATTACCAGCTGCTTCATCTGGACTGCAAAAGATAGGGAATTCTTTGAGAAGTTGCTCATCTGATAGAAAATCGATTTCTTCTAATGGAATACCATGTTTTTGAGCGAAGATTTTTTGCCGATCTTCGAATATACAAAGTGCTTTTCTAGTACTTTCACCAATATCAAAGCAAGTTCCTGTCGATGACATATATCCATTTCTAAACCACCATTTATAGCGAACCAATTGATCATAAGGTTCAAAACCACGACGAGCTACTAATGAATTGGCTAAGCAAAGAGTCATGGATCCATCATCTGTGAACTAAACAAAGAAGCATGAAAAATTATTGTAAGATTGATAAACATTCATGAATTTCTTTTTTGTCATATCAATGTTTTATCTACTCGTGTAGTATCATTGGACTGATGTTTTTTTTGTCGTTATTTTCTTTGTAAAAAAAAAAAACGTTCTTCTTAGATTATCTAAGATATTCAAAATCTCGGACAATTCTCATTTCAATAACTTGATTAGCATTGCTTTCAGAATAAAACTTTCAATTTTCTACTGTAGTTATATCTTCGCTGTCAACAATTGACTTCAAATTTTTATCATGTTTTCAGCATAATTAAACAAATCTATTGATCATTGACTTTTCGATATTATCACTGAAAAGAAATAGTCTCAAGGTATAAATTTTGATACAGGAAAATAATATAGTTCAAGTGTATTTGTCTAGCGCTTTAAAAAAAACAAAAGAACACGGATTTCATCTTTAATGAATCTCCTTTTTCTTTATGAGCGATTATTGTGCAGCTACATCCGTCTTTTTGTCATTAATGAATATAAAACATGTTGCTAAAAATACTTTTTAAATAAGAAAATTGTACATTTTGTTCGCGCATAACTAATTGAACTTGACTACACATCGCTATAGAAATCATATTTCTTGATGTTTTAATACGATATTATTTTCGAAATTGATCGGTTAGTTTCTACAGGAAGAAAAACAGAAGCAGATACCGAAATTGTAATGAAGAGTTCGATTGAATAGAATCTTATTTGCATGCAGACTTTCTACACAAAAAAATGAGAACTAGCAGCTCGTGTTTCGAGAAAATATATAATTAGTTTCTTCATCAGCGTGTCTCACTCACAAATATAGTAGCCCATAGATGAGAACAGTACATGATTTAGACAATAGAATATCAAAGCTATGTGTCATCAGATTTGACATACTACAAGAAGTTCAAAAAAAGAGTTAAGAACAGATATTTACAATGATTTAAAAAGAATTCAACTGAACAAATTTCACACATATTATTGATACAATATTCTTCAAATAGATTTACCTGTCCTTTCTCGAGACCCCATGTCCCTCCACCTCGTAGATCAGTAACTGGATTAGCAAGCAAATAACTGTGAGGTCTAAATTCGACATGAGCACCCAAAGCATCTCCCAAAATTAAACCAAACATTGAACCCATAATACGATTTAGAATATGCCTATCAATGTTTCCCGAAGGTTCAGTCATATTTAGTTCACATTCGTCAGGTTTGATAATTGTTGTACCTTCTGGATCTTTAAATCGGCATTCTAGCCAAATTTTATCTATATAGAAATAAAAATCAATCGCATAATGTTTAAAAAATATTACTCAACATTAGAGGCAATACATTTGTTTTTATTTACTTTTAGTGTTATATGATTTTCATAATTATTTCTCTCGTTGAATGAAATATCTGATATCCAAATTTTAGACCTATAACCTCAACTAGACCACTATTTCGATGTTCGTTTCGTCGCAGAGTTCATTCCAGTCGTGTGAATGTACACGAAAGAAAGATCAAGAAATGACCTTCCAAGAAAAATTTCAATTGAAATCAAGTCCTACTATTTGCATCTAGAACATTTGATTCAACTTTTCAAGGTACCTTTAAAATCATTTGAGATTGAAAAGGAAATAAAAACTAAGTGTATCATCACATTTAATATTACATAAATGCCAAACTTATTTAATGAATCTCTTATTACATTAAAACTAAGTTCGTCACAATTATTCGAAAACAACCATCTATCCCCATGTCAAAAGTTTAGCCAAGGATAAAGACTATTTTGCAGTCGTTTCCTGAAAACGTATATTAAATTTCTTTTCGTCACTGGATCTCTCAAAGACTTCACTGAAATTTTTTTTTCTACAAATTTATTTAAAAAGTATATGAACTTTTCAAGTCAATAGTGCTGAAGAAGAAAATTTCACAAAAGAACTTCTCAAATTGTTTTGCTTTGCAGCTCAAATATATATTTCAGCTTTGAAAATCCTGCAAGACAGTATTTAACAGACTTTTATATCTTGATCTAAAAATGATCTTATATGAGTCATATTGAGTGCTGTATGAACTTCATGATTGATCTACGAAATAAACTCATTGTCAAGTTCAATAAAAATCATAAAGAACAACAAAGCTTAATTTCTGACATGATATTCGACATTAGAAACTTTGCAGTCATATTACTAATGCACGAAGAAACAATTTTTCGGAGTGAAGAGCAAATGCCGAAACTAGATAATTAAGTTTAAATTCTCTTAGATAGGTTAATTTTGTTTCTCATACGAGTAAAAAGTATTCAAAATTTGAAAAGTTGTATATATTACAAAATCATGTCTTACCTGTTTTGAATTTGCATGATTGATGCGATGATCTTGTTAATCCGAAACCTAGAAACAATTTTGAAAATACAAACAAAAATATTGGGAGAACATCAGCCTTTTGTTCTAGATTGTTTATTTTTTCTCATATAATATTATAAAACTGACATCATTTTATAGCATTTGAGTTGATGAGTCTAATGCTATAGAGATTTTGCCGAAAAAACAATGTTATCTTACAGGTATTCATGTTACTGAAGAATTTAGCCAAAACCATAGAGAATGGATATGGGTAGGGATGAGTGTGAATCATATATTTAATCTTACGCACATCCACACCTATTAAAAGATGACAATCAGATCGCGGGTATGTATCATGTTTTATACGTAATTAATAGTCATGATTTTTCATTAAAGAACTTTACAAAATTATTTCTATTGACGAAATTAATTATAGGCTTCAAATGATAATTCAATAACTACATTCGGCTGAAAATCTTATAATTACTTACTAGAAGATCCATCTTTTGATATACGTTTTTTAGTATGATTTGAAGTGGTATCCAATTGAAGCATTTCATCATTTATTTCTTCTAAATCGATTTCATCAATGCCAAGATTAACATTGTATGACACATTATTGACACGTAAACGAGTACCAGGTAACAGGATGATTTCGATTTCATTATTTTTACAGGAATATGTCGATATATCTTTACCATTGAGAATTTTAATATTCAATAAAGTAGATTTTTTATCCAACAATGAAGATACAAGATTATCTGGCGTTTGTGTACACGATGTGATACCCCACCAAGTAATTATTTTTTTCTTTGGATAGTTTTCTTTAATTCTTCTAGTTACACCTTGATAAACATGTCCTCTAATAGAAGGTAATTTTTTAAGAGCTGACAAAATTAATTCGAGGTAGTTGAACCAATAATTCTTTACTTCAGTTTGATCTTCATATCTTAATGCTTCATTAAGCATACGACTGAAACTTATATCATTTAATTGCATAGTGTACAAATAAATAGCTGCCGATTCATCAATAGTAAGACTATTTGAAAAACTTGTATTGACACGTCTTTTGACTTTTTGTATATAATCATCCAAATGAGGAATAGCATTTCTTATGGGTTTGAGAGCATCTTCCAATGTTATATTACGACTATTTTGATAACTTTCGATAGGTTTTAATGTTCTGTTTTCACAGTCGACATCAGTGAGCCGATGTATCAAAGTGTAGCGGTGATCTATAATAATTTTTATCATCCTATTATATAATTTATTTTAAATAAAAAAATAAAACTATTGTATCACGTAATTCTATAGAAACTATTAGCGTTAGGTAAGGCTACATTTTATAGAGACGTATGCAAGAATAGTAAATATCATTGGAAGTTATGAGAAGTGAGATAATTTCTACAGCCATGTAGTAATCTTAGAAGAAATATGAATACTATGAAGTCGAATAAACAAAAAATTTTCTTGTATCACTGAGTGACTCGAAGGCTTTTATACAAAATATTTGTCAGATGTTATTATTCATAATAAAATTTTTTCGAGAAAGTAAAGGATAATTGCAAAACAGTGTCCTATACTCTTGATGAATATATGATCAGTCATTTTTCTCTCAAATTTAGCTATAGAATAATGAAAACTTTGTTCATATATCGTTGTTCAGAGTAAGACTTGTTTGATAACACCTATAATTTCATAGTTTTCTTGTCAGCTGATAACGTAATCGAATTTTAACTTTCCAAAACGAAAAGTTTTTAAATCGAGCGATGTAAATATGATTGATTCGAATAATTTTTTGGTCATGTCTTTTAGAAAGAAATAACTTTTCTAAGCAAATATTTTCAATGTAAGGTTAACAGATTGTGTCCAATTCTTGTTATTTCATTACCTAGGATCTTTCAAATTCTTTTTCAATACTTTACAGCAAAATTTGACAACACATTAACTCTCTGTTTTCGTTAGGACGAATATGTTTCAGGATACGACACTTTTCGATATAGTTATTTCCAACAATATCCTACTTTTTCTTGTTGACATTCTGAATTGATGACAAATTTGAAACAAAACAATTTTTAAGCAGTCAAGCAAAAAGAAATCTAACTTTATCAATATTTCGACAAAAGTTTTCACATACCAGAATTTGCATGCATTGTATTTTGAAAATTACCATGATTTGATTTCGATGAAGGTGCATCTAAAGTTAAATGTAAAAGTTCTTAACAATGCTATATTCGATTCAATGAATAAAGAAGTATCATACTGTCATGATCGATAAATGATGAAGCCTGTAGTTTCGAAGCAGTTTGTGCAATTTCGTTTCGCTTTTTGTCAACTATTTCTTCTAGTTCTACGAAAGTAATATTACTGTTATGTGCCCATGGTTTAACACTTTTTACAATTAGAGTAGTTCCAGGCATTAAAATAACTTCTTGTGTGATATAGTCATCTGTGATATTGGAAATATCTCTGCCATTGATAACATCGATCTTGATAAGAGTTCCGCTTGTACCAACACAATGTTGAAGGATGAAATCTAGAGATTTAGAGCATGAACTAATTCCTTGCCAAGTGACAGTGTGACCGACTTGGAATTTATTCCCTATAGCATTATTGGTGCCACGCCAACATCCTCTCTTATATAAGGGTAACCGTTCAACTTCAGCACGAAATAATTGGAGATAAGGAAGCCAAGGCTCTATTTCTTCTTGATGGTCAGATTTAAGTGCATCATTTAGTAATTCCCACAAAGGTTGTGTACCACGTTCTGATGTATATAATTTTGTAGCAATCATCTCTTCTGATTGACTGTCATAGTGGTTACTAGCTTGCTGTAGGATATTACTTATACTTTGATTATGTTTTTGTATATATTTGACAGCCATCTTGAAGTTTAGTTTGGAAGGCAGCTGTTTGTCATAGACGAACTTCATTTGCTTGTCTTCGTAATCGATCATTTTAAACCGCTTCCACTGATAAAATGGACCTAAATATTTTCATATGAGACACATTTTAACGTAGTCAGAGATTGATAAATCTTTTCGATAGAACAACGATCTATTGTTATCTAAACTTATTCATGAAGTAGTATTTTGGAAGGACAACTAAAGATTTATTAGTAACAGATAAATGTTAACAAACGGATATTTTCATCGTACATGGTTAATATACAAAACACGATGGAATCGCCTTCACTGACCTTAGACCTCGTGCAATGTTTATCAGAACTAGCAATAAGGTTTCAAATGCAGCAGATCATTATGTTGGGGAGGATGACTAGATGTGTGTGAGCGTAGATATGGATTGGATATAGATGTTTGTATGAACTAAATGAGTATTAGTTCAAACCAATGATTTTGTAGCCTATGTATAGTTGCGTTACATGTTTAAATGAATTCGAATTCAGTGCTCAGCCCGTACATTGCACTTGTAAAGTTACATGACCTAAGATTTTGTATATGACTAAATATTGGGTATGTCTTAGGTACTGTTAGATGGTTTCAAGGTAAACTTGTTGAAAAGAGTAAAACTTTCATCGCTCTTTCATTGAATAAAAAAGTCAATCACTAGTTGGTTTCATAGAATCATAACACTAAATATTCCACACAATTAAAATCATGTTTTCTTCCAAATTAAACTGGTGTTTGCTGTCAAAAGATTTTCCAATGTACTTTTGTCTAAGAGCAAAAGTTTGTGCGGAAAGCGTTTTCTTGAGACTCAATCGAATAGTTCCGAAAAATCATTGTGCCTCTATACAAACGTTGGCTTATTGAAAATCCAATCGCCAAAAACTATAGCCTAATATTTTCGTTTGTGTATAAGGTTTTAAAAAACCGGCTTATAATGTCGATCGATCTTCTCTTTATAGAGCGAAACCAAAAGGTACGTTGATGAAATCGATGAAACGAAGTGGATGAAGTAGTATATTTTGACTAGTTTAATCTTTGTTTCTTCAAAAATCAGATGTAAGTACAGAAAATCGATACTCACCAGATTGACTCTGTTCAAAACGGCTTTCTGATTTCAATTGATTTGATATATCTACTTCTTTCTGTGTGCTAGATAGTTCTTCTAAATGTACCAGTACTAAATTATTATTGTTCTTATACGGTTCAATATTCTTCACAATCAAACGAGTGTCTGGCATTAAAAGAAATTCTACCGTGTAAGGATCAGCCGAATATTTAGAAATATCTTTGGCATGATTAGTATTGATCTTAAATAGTATTCCTTTTTGGTGAATACAATTTGTTACGACCAATTCGGGCAATCTTGAACAAGAACTTATGCCAGACCAAGTGACACATTTTTCTCGTTGTATTTGGTCTAATATTACAGGTTTGCCAACACGCCAACATTGTACTTTACAATCAGGCAATTTTTCAGTTGCGGAATAGAATAATCGAAGGAATGGTAGCCATGCTATGCGTATTTCTTTATCTGCGGAACGTAGTGCTTGATTCAGTACTATATGCAAACTCTTTCCACTTATTTCTCTGGTGTACATATACATAGCAGCACATTCGTCGAAAGTAAGTTTGGTTAGTTTTTTGCCTTTAAAACGTTCTACAGCGTCTTTCAAATAAGTCTCCATATTAAGAATACGACTATTTAGTTGTTGGAGAGCTTCTCTTATGCTTAAGAGAGTGTCATTTGTTTTTAATTCATCGATGGGTAAAAAATTTTTATTTTCCCATTCAATTTGTATAAATCGATGGAACGTATTATTTGTAGCCATTCTAAATCGATCAAGATAAATAAATCTGAAAAGAAAAGTTACCCGACATGTTTCGATGTAATATGTGCGTCTCTCTCATTTTCGTAAGTCGTTGCTTTCATCTTTCGACTTAAGAAGCAGAAAAAGAACAGAAAAGAAATTAAATAAAAACCATTCTATAGTGCAACACTTTTCGCATATTCAAGAGTCACATGGTCGTCTGAAGCGAATAATCAACATTTCTTATTTATCTCGTTGCAGTCGCATAAAATGGTGACTTATTTTTCTACGTTTGTAGGAAGAACAAAATTATTCTCTGCTACCAACTCACGCCGTTGATACACTGAAACAAGTGAAGTGACTAAAATGTAAAACAGTAAAAAACAAAATAAACACATTCACATTAGATTGTTAAGGGAGCTTGCAGGAGACCAGTGAGAAATCGAGATAGTGGTGAAATTTTACTTTTGAATTGACATGTGAATTTGATTGTGTGTTGTCGAAAACCTACATGGTCACTTTTTCTGCGGCATGCGATTGCGACTCTTAACTTTACTTTATATGACGCCCTCACAATGCTTCTCATTTTGTTCTTGATTCTATGGACCGTGGTGAGTGTCTGTATGAAAACAAACGAGCACTAAATTTTAGTGATGTTTTGAGTGTTGAAGTGAAAAAAATACATAAAAGAAAAGTAAGTATAGTAAACAAAACGTTTTTTGGCTTTTCATTATGTTATATTGATTTGATATTTTCTAGTAATGAAATAACTTGTATTGAACATTTATCAAATGAACTTTTCTATGAAATATTTGAATATCTTGATGGATATGATATTTATCAAACATTTTTTTAATCTTAATTCTTGTTTTCAACATCTTATTCTGGAGTCGGATTCGACCTATATGTCCTATAATACCTATATTTTTCAAAAATCCTGTATTTTGTACATAGTCCTCATTCACCACCAAAAACGATATTTTCAACCAAAGTCATAGTTTTTCGACGTATTGAAGCCTATTATAGCGAAACCTATTTAGAAGAAAATATTTTTTTTCGCGTAGTAAATGTATTTAATGCTAAGATAGCTAAAGGATGTAAATAAAAGATGGATCCTCCTCCAGCTCTCAGACTAAAAGCCTACTGGACTTCGATTCAGTTTTGAAAATCATAAGTTTGAAGTTGGTCTTCTATTGAGACCCACTTTTTTGTCTTCTGCACCAAAATTTGAAATACTAATCTCGAGAAAAAACGAACTAATAGTTTCAGAAATGTATTTAAGCGTGAATATGAATTTATATAATAAGTTGTAAAAAATTTCAAATTTTTCGAATTGTTTTTAAGCCTTCCTAAAAATTTTTATATAACGCCGAGCCAAAGAATACGAAATTTTGAAAGATTGAGGATGACTATAATTGGCTTCCTCGACTGGAACAGCTATCTATATATCGCAGATTAAAACACAGAAGGAAAATGTTTAAAAGCCAAATTATTCATATACCATGGTTGGCACACAAAGTTAATTAGTTCAGCAAGAAAAAATATTTCATGAGGAAAACATTTGATTGATGCGCATGTGATCATTTTATTTAAAATAGTAAATGTTATCGATATCTAACATGTTATTCGAGTTTTTAATTTGTTAGCGTGTACACATTTTGAACTCACAATAGAACATTTTCATGTGCCTGATTGCTTTTGAGTTGATACTATGTGCATCATGTTGTGCCCAATGAGTAATGCATATGTTGAAAAAAGCGCATGCTCCTAGGTTTGAGATGAGGAGATATTAAGCTTTTATTGAATATTTTATCAAAACTTTGTATAAATAAAGGTCTCATTAAGAATAGTTTATGGTGAAAATTTCAATAGTTTTATTTGCTTCTATCATGAGATCTAAATATTCAAAGATGGATCTATGTATACGACTAATGCGTCATATCTCAGGATAGAAACAGCCAATAGGGTTCAAACTTTCATCATAAACCATTCTAATTGAGACCTTCATGTACACAAAATTTTGAGCCAAAAATAGTATTTCAGTTTTTAAATGATCTGAGGAGAGCTCCAGAATTTTGATAAAATATACAATAAAAATCTTATAGTATCGACTCAAAACCGATCAGAAAAATGAATATGTCCTTTGGTCAGTGAGCTTCTATTATTACATTCAGAATATTATAGTTATGATGGTGGGCTTCTACATATTTCGAGTAGACTTTTACTCTGGAGTTTTATTCAAATCAATTAAAAGGATGTTTAGAAAACGATTAAACACTTTTCTCTTTAAATTTTCGATTTCTGCTCCATATATGTATACATCCATCTTGATGCTTTTGCAGAATATATAAGCAAGAACATATCTCTAACGATGAAGCTAGAAAAGTATGTTTTTCGCTAAAAAGACAAACCATAAAAAATCCTATATGAATTCTTATATTTCCAAAAAATGTCAATCCGAGGCCAGATAATAGGTATCTTCATTAGTTCAAAACAAGTTCTACAAACTAAATAAGTTATATTGTCTTCATTCAATAATCAAATGAATATTTTAAAATAGAGAATTTTATTTCGATGAGATAATCAATGTTTATTTGTTCAAAATCTAACTACATACAAGCAAAATCTAAATAAAACATATCTGTTTTTAATAATCAGATGTAATTTCTTGACGACGATAGAAAATAAGTTCAGGTTGATCATGATTAATTCGAAAAGCACCAAAAAAACGCATAACATCAACAAATAAAAGTTTGTCTTCAACAGATATTTGACCATTTAAAAATTGATATGTTTGACAAGATGCTGAACCATCCATATCATCTTCTTCAGTCGTAGAATTTTCATCAAAATATTCAGCTGGTGAAAGATAAAGAAAAAAATGAGGTACATCATTTTCGTGCATGAAATAATCTTCTTCACCATTCGGCATTATATAAATAAGTTCAAATTTTCTTGGTTTATTTTTTTTAATTTTATTATCATTATTCATTTGTTTAAAAAAATAATTATTTAATTGATGAATTGCAGTTTTAAGTTTAGGACATCGACATTTAATTGATGATGATTGTTTATAATCATTTATTGAACATGCTTCGCACATATCAAAATCTTTTGCATAATTCAATTTAAATTCATCTCGTTGTAAATCAAATATATCTTTTGTTACATATTTAAATAAATATGATGGTAAATGAGCAGTAATAAACCATTTAATTTGTTCATTTTTTATAAGAGCAATACGACGAGCACATAATTCTTTAAGACTTAATAAACCATTTGATTGTATTCCATGACGTTGAAATCGTTTAATAGCACCACAAAATGAACTAAGATCACCTTTAATTCCAATAGCTAATATATCACATGTTGATCTTGTTCGATAATATCGACCCATGATTAAATTTAAGAATAAATCTAGAAAAACAAACAACGTTTATGTATATATATAATAAGAATGTAATTCAAAGAAAAACATGATTATTTAACTGATGACTAATAAAGCATTTAAATTTACCAATCAATTTACAGAGAGAGATCACTATAATGATTCTTATCGAAAATAGAATAGAATAAAATGATGTTTGTTTATTATAAGATATATAAATCGGATACTATTGACAATTTTAATTGGTTATTCTTCGCATAATTGTTATAATATTTAAATAGTCTTTGTAATTTAAATCGATATACATCTAGATCTACTGGTAAAAAGAGAAATAGCCATTTTAATAAGAAAAAGATTTTTTTTTGAATTGAATAGAAAAATTGTAATTTATAGATGACGTAACTTTTTATTAAATGAAAATTTTTTTGTTAAGATAACTTTATGCAATTTGTAGAGGACGTCAGTTTATAAACAAAAAAAGAGTTTTTAAGAGAGCGCCCATGAGGGCATCGAATATACGAGGTATTCGATAAAATGTTTTTTTCGATTTTTTTTTTTGCTCATTCAAAACTTCATAACTATCACACCTTTTTGGGGAAAAAAAAGAAAAAATATCCTATAAAAGATGTACCAGCTTACGTTTCAACAGATTGTTGAAAATTTTCATGGTATACATAAGAAGATAGACGATTAAAAGCTGAACAAAATAAGCTATTTTGATATAATATTATCTCTAACAATTCTAGTTTTATAAAGCTAATATGAGTCAAAGGTAGTCATTTTGACCAGTCTAAATAAAACAGTATATCTTCTGCTGTGTTTCAGAATCAAGAGTCTCCAGAATGAATTTTATATATGCAATGTAATTCCAAAGTGGCTGGAAAGTTACAAGAATTAAACACAATGACACTTGACATTATTGGGTGTGGACGAATAGGAACATGTTTTGCAGATAAGATGCGCCCTTTTGTCAAGCGAATATTGACGCATAATTCGAAAATTTTGACAAAAAACACATTCAAAGACATTTTCGAAGAGTATGATATTTTCTCGCTGCATTTTCCGGCGTCAACAATGAATTATCGTCTTATCTCATCTGACTCAATTGCTTAGATGAAACGCTGTCCAATTCTAATTAATGTTAGTCGAGATGGTCTCATCGATACAAAAGCACTTACTCAAGCATTCAAATGTGGACAAATTTCTTATGCTGTTCTCGATGTTATCGAAGATGAGCCTAATATCGACGAAGAATTAGTCAAACTTGACGATGTACTTCTCACTCCTCATGTGACTTGGTATATCGAAGAATCAAAACGAGCTCTGAGAATGAAGGGCATTGAAGATATTTTACGAGTGTTGAGAGGTGAACGACCAATCTATCCTGTTTCTGAATAAATTATTCTACGATTTGCAGCAATATCTCGAAATTAACTCATGTTGGACTACTTTGTGCTGAGTGTACAATTCTTTTTCGCTTGACAATGAAATACATTAAAAGATAATGTGTATATCCAAGAAAGCTGAATATTTTTTAAATTTTAGATTTGTTTAACAAGAGTATATAAACGATCTATATTTAAAAAATCTGAGATATCAAATATTTATGAATGTGAAAATTTCTATAGATAACTAAAATATATATCTGAATTCCCTGCAATCAAGGACAGAAGACTAGAGTATCTTCACGATATTATTGTTTCTGATGAGTTTATGAAACAATATAGATATAGGGTGTAGGTATAACTGTTAAAGAAGAGAATGGCAACACCCACACTCACACCTTGTAAACATGCGTCCTTTAAAATTTCATTTTTCATTTTCTGACTTCTTTGTTTGCATGTTTCGTAGGTTTGTTTCACTCAATAATGCCGATAAAATCAATCTTTTGTTGACTCGGAAGAAAAATACGAATGATGCAAAGCAAACAAACTGAATCATCTTTTTTTCTACTATAAATAACACCTATATAAAAGTTGGAAAAAAGTATTTGGACGAAATTACGTTTTTGCGCTGAGGTCTCTAAACTTAAGCTAAATTGATAACATACACATACCAATGTCTGACGAACAACCACCCTTATCTTTTATCAATCGCGTATGCCAAATGGGTTTTCCATTGTCGAGTGTTCATCTTGCTCAGCAAGTCACGAATTCCAATGATCCAGACATATTACTTGAATGGATTTTATCGCATACAAATGAACTTGAACTGAGCAGCAGTGAAAATGTCGACGAAAAACATCTAGCAAGACAGGCCATTGATAAAGTGATAGAATGTGGATTTCCGAAACGTTCAGCTGAATTAGCACAAAAAAAGACAAAATCCAATGATGTACAACTATTAATTGACTGGATATTAACTCATGATATAGAAGTAGAAAGGCCAGGTCCCATAACTAGCAATACCAATCTACGACAATCAAAACCGAACAATAGTGATACATTCATAAATGATCTATCGAAATTAGGTTTCGATACAAACAATATTCGATCTTGTTTAATCGATCTAAATATTGATACAAGAAAAATATCCGATTCAAATAAAAAACAAACACAATGTATCAATTGGTTGATTGATCATAGTCGAAAACAAGCACAAGTTCAAGCAAATCAGATCGATCGTTCAAGAAAACAATTACGAATGCCAATACCAATTGATATGAATCAATATTCAACAAAGAATTCTCAACCTATATCAAATAATTTTTTAAAACAAATTCATTTATCCAATCGACCGCAGACAACAAGAATGAATCAAAAGACACGTGAATTGACACCCGAAGAAGCACGCATGTTTGATATTGATGAACATTTAAGAAAACAAAATTGGACAATTCATAATCTTAGTCAATTAAGTTTAATACAAAAATATTTACAAATCGTCTCGAAAATAATTTATGAAGATCATCATAATATTCAACGATATAATGATGATAATGATGATTTATTCGAACCCATTCAAAAGATATCATCAATAGAACCAAAAAATGAACGATCAAAAAGAGGAATTTTTACTTTAGCCGATCTAGTTAAACAAGATCAAAAAGATGAACGATCTTTTAAAAACAAACAATTGGATACACCACCAAGACCCATGTCTATTCCAGGTGCAATGGATGAAGCCAATTGGAATACAAGTTTATTGACCACTTTAGATCCAATTGCTGTTCAATTTGAATATCGACCTGGTGAAAATTATCGACAATTCCTTGATCGTTTAATAGATAAATGTCAAATTCGTTATTCTGATCAATCAAGCAAAATTCGAGCCATATTTGTTTGGATTACTAGTCACATACGTTATGATATCAAAACAAGTGAACGTGATAATTCATTGGGCAAAACCGAACATGATATGGATACTTTATGTGATTTAATACTTCAAACTTCAATATGTGTCTGCGTTGGTTATGCTGTAATGCTCAAACGTATGTGTCAATATTTCAATATTCAAGTTGATTATGTTAATGGTTATACGAAATTAACTAAATCATGTTTGAATGATACGAAATACTCCAACAGTATTGAGAGTTTATCTGGTCATGCATGGAATATGATTCATATCGATGGGAAAGCTTATTTTACAGATCCCACCTGGTCAGCAGCACACTGGTCATCAACTAATACACTTCTCTCACCATTTTCGAATAC